GTTCTGAAATATTTAATGTGAGTTTCCAAAGTATATAGAAATTATTAATTTATACAGAAAAAAATAACGAATTCTGTCGTGTTTAAAATTAAAGTACAGATGAACACAGATGTGATATAAACTTTTTATAGCCTATTTCTTCAGATGTCATGAATGGCATTTAATTCTACTGATTTGAAATAATATTTTAATACCAAGCATTCCTCTTTTATTATGCCCCCGTAAACGAAGTTTCGAGGGCATATAGTTTTTGTTGTGTCTGTCTCTCTGTTTGTCTGTTTGTCCGCAAAAACTTTAACCTTGCCAATAACTTTTGATTTAGTGGAGCTATGACTTTCATATTTCATATGTGTATTTCTTGTGACAAGACCTTTCTTTGGGTACCACCAAATTTGACCTTTTGACCTTGATCTTGGAGTTTGACCCACTTTTACATGAAAATTTTAAAATTTTACTTTGGCCATATCTTTTGAACAGTATACACCAGGACATTTATACTTCAAATATATAATGTTTGTTAAAAGACCTTTCACTGGATAACAACAACTCTGACTCTTTGAACTTGACCTTGTAGATTTCCTTACTTGTGAGAAAACTTTAACCTTGGCCATAACTTTTGTACAGTAAGGGATAGGGCTTTCATACTTCATACATGTAATCCTTGTGAGAAGACCCTTCATTGGATACCAAGAACTTTGACCCTTTGACCTTGACCTTTGAGATTGACCGACTTTAAAAAAGAAAACTTTGATCATAACTTTTAAAGAGTTAGAACCAGTGCTTTCATACTTTACATATTAGATCTTTATGACAAGACCTTTCATTTGATAACAATAACTTTGACCCTTTCACCTTGACCTTGGAGTTTGACTTACTTTTTAAGAAATCGAACGTTGACCATACCTTCTGAACAGTTAGAGCTAGGGTTTTCATGCTCTACAAAAGTATTTTATGTGGCAAGACCTTTCATTTGATACTAATTACATTGACCTTTTGACCTTGACCTTTGAGATTTTTGAAATTATTTAAAAACTTTTACATTAGCTTAATTTCAAATTTCACAATTGTTTTCCAGTGGAATACCCTACTTTTGGTACCAATTATTTGCATTTAAGAAAAGCTTAATCTTTGCTATGTTGCCATACGGGGGCATCAGTGTTTTACAAAAATTGCTTAACCAACATGCCCTGATCATCTTGCATATGTATGCACGTGCGCGCGCATGCAAAAGATAAACGATACTAAGTTGATATCATTGTAACTTTTATATTCTTAAATGAAATTTTTCGATAAAGAGCATATTTAAAAAAGTCTAACCGCAAATAATGCACAAAAAGGGACTTAGGGAGCGTTTGGGGAACATCTGTAACGATCCCTGTTACAATTAACACTAGTTTTAAGGTATGTCACTCGTCAGCTTTTTAGAAAAGTTCATGCAGAACATCTTAATTCAAAAGTATTTTTTAAAAATTCAATTTTTATAATTTATTTAAATTCAACAATGTAATTTTTTTAACATTCCACAAAAAAATTGCTCAAAATTCTATAAAGAAGCAAGATTTATGAGGGGCTATTTCTTGTGGTGGAAGGATATTTAGCAGAAAAATCAGCAAATCTGTACATTGCATGAATTTAATATCTTGGAACTCACGTACTTTACTCGAAAAATATTTTCCTTTACGATATGGCTAGGAATATTTAATATAGGTCTAATATAAGACTTATATATTTTTATTTACCAGTATTTATGATTTTATTTATCTGTTGTCTTATCTTGTCATATTCGAATCACATAAATAAAACTGAAAACTGAACGAGGTGATTATAAAATACAACATACATACAGTAGTGTAAGTTATGATTGAGGTGTGTGCAATGGAGTTGGAGATTTTTGTTAACAATCATATTTATCTACATAGCTTGAGCTACCTTCGTACAGCAAAGTAGTCATTTACAGATTTACGTATCCATGATCATCTTTGGTATTTTTAAAAATATACAGTGTACATTTACTGCTTAACAACACTTAGTAAGTCACTGTATATTTAGCTTCATTAATAACAGAATTTCGGAAACTTACATAAAAGTTTTGTTTACTACAGCAAGGCAAAAATTGTAGTTATACACCCCATAAACGAAGTTTAAGGGGGATATAGGAATCAGTCAGCTTGTATATCTGTCCGTCCGTCTGTCTGTCTGTCTGTGCAAACGTGTGCGGTCCATATCTTTCTTACGGAGAAACATAAGAATCTACTACTTCACACAAAAAAAAAATGCTCAAGACCTAAGAATGTTTCATGACCTTGATCCAAGGTAATTTGTGGAAGTTCAAGGTCACTGGAAAAAAAATTTCATAATTCGTGTCCGGTCAGTATCTTCCTTATGGATAACTTGGTAAGTTCCCATTTCACACAAAGATTGCTCATGACATAGTGTTGCGTCATGTCCGGTCAATATCTTTCTTATGGATAACTTAGTAAGTTCCCATTTCACACAAAGACTGATCATGACATATTGTTGTGTCGTCACAGAAAGAAAAAAAGTTCATAATTCATATTTGGTACGTATCTTTCTTACTGAAAAACTTGAATATACTACTTCACACAAATATGGCTTATGACCTGAGGGAGTTTTATGACCTTGAGCCAAGGCCATTTAAGTTCAAGGTCACTGAAAGAAGAATTTTATTACGTCCGGTCCATATCTTTTTTATGGATAAACTTGTTAAGTTCCGATTTTACACAAAGTTTGCTTATGTCTTGAGGGTGTGTCATGACCTTGACCCAAGGTCATTTGTGCAAGTTTACGGTCACTGAAAATAAAAGTTAATAATTTGTGTCTGGTTCATATTTTTCTTATGTCATGACTTTGAACCAAGGTCAATAATGCAAGTTCAAAATCACTGACTGAAAAATAAAATAATTTTGCGTCTGGTCTTTATCTTTAGGCTGCACCTTCGTTTCATTCATAAAAAATATAATGAGCAACAATTACATTTGCACAAAAATGTTTTAGCATTTCTCTCTTCTCTTAGATCCCTAAAATATTCATAAATTTGCAACCTGTGAAAAACCCAGTGGGGGTATTTCGTCCTTTATGGACAGTTGTAGTTTAACATAGATAGCTGCAAAGTATTAATAGCACTTGCATTTAGTTAAAGCTAAGAAATCATTCAGAGTGATCACTGCTCAAATAAATTCACACAGATTAATACATAAAACTGAAGCAGTGGTAGCAAGGTGTACCGCTTGCAGTGCCCTTCTTTCTGTTGAATTACAAGTCAATTATACACATATACCGATATATCTCAAAACTCTAGTACATCCCTCTACATAAAATGTAAAATGTGAAAAAATATATGTAAAATGAAATTTGCAAATACAGTCACTTCAGATATCAGTATTGTTCCAGATCAAGTATGTTTGTTCGGGCACCAAAATTGTAACCGTTGACCTTTAAAATTATATGCCAGAAACATCGTGTGTCGATTGTCTCATGATGTTTTTCTTCCTGAGAACTAACAGAGTAACGACATTCATCCCCAGCTTTTTCAGCATAAAACATTTCCTCATAGTTCATTCCGCTTATCTCAAAAGCAAGCATTTCCCATCTGTATAATGAAATTCTTCTTTTCCTTTAACTGCATTATATGCCATGCAGATTACTAAATTTGTTTAACAAAGGGGTATACGAAAGTATAAAATACGACAAGAAGGTACCGGACAGTAGTTCTCATCAATCTAATATACTTGTATATGAAATGTATGGTGGCATATTTATGCCATCCACATAATTTTTTGTCTACATAGCATATCTTGTCAAGTCAAGATAACTATCTCGTCAAGTCATGATAACTTTCTGGTTTGTCGACAAACACCGACTTTATATCTTGTCAAGTCAAGATAAGCTATTACGTTTTGTTGCAATAGCTATCTTGACATGACAAGATATATTTTAATCGCAATACAAGATAAATTATCTCGTTTTGTCATGATAGCTATCGCAATAATACGATAGCTTATCTTGACTGTACAAGATAAAAGTCGGTGTATGACAACAAACCAGAAAGTTATCATGACTTGACGCGATAGTTATCTTGACTTGACGTGATATCTTATGTTGACAAAAAGTTATGTGGATGGCATAAATATGCCACCATAGAAATGATTTAATTGTAAGAACTATCATGAGTTTCTTATCTTTTTAATACACATGCTTATTTTCTATAACCATAAGTCTTTGTATTTTTTATGCGCCCGGATCGATAGATCCGAGGCGTATATTGTTTTTGTCCTGTCTGTCTGTCTGTCTGTCTGTCTGTCTGTCTGTCTGTCTGTCTGTTTGTTTGTTTGTCCCCAAACTTTAACCTTCGCCATAACTTTTGAACCATGAAAGATAGAGACTTAATATTTGATATGCATATTCCACTAATTAAGCTCTTTCAAATGAAACCAAGGTCAATGACCTTGTGACCTTGACTGTGGCCTATATGCTAAAAATAGTTTTTTCTGCAAAATTTAACCTTCGCCATAACTTTTGAACCATAAAAGATAGAGACTTCATATTTAGTATGCATGTTCTACTAATCAAGTTCTTTGAAATGACACCAAGGTCAATGACCTTGGGACCTTGACTGTGACCTATATGCTAAAAATAGCTTTTTTCGAACTTTGTTGCTGCCGGGCGCATAGTGTTTAACAAACACATCTTGTTTCTAATTTTATCAACCTCTCACTTGGAACTAGTCACACATGAAATTCAGATACATGTATAATTTGTAATTTTAAACATATAAAGTAAATAAATCAAATGCTGAAATATATATATTTTTTAATATATGGCACAAGGTCTTTCCAACTTTGTGTTTGTAAAAACCTATTGGATGGAGATTATATGCATGTTCAAGTACTACATTGTTGCAATTTGAAAAGACTGACATCTTTTCTTATAAATTTAAAACGTCAAAATTTAATTGCAAATTGTTTTGTTTTAAACATAAGATTGCAGGTAGGAATTCAACCCTGTATTTTCATGATATACAACTACAAGCAAACAGATACGGAAACTTCAATGTAACAGTGGTCGCCTATGATATGATGCAAGGCTTCCAAATATTGGACTGGATTCAAAAGCCAATCACTGTTAAGGTACATTATGTAGTATTTTCTCTTAACTTAATGATTTCTATGACAGCATTCTGCATCAGATATAATTTGTTTTTTAATCGCATCATTGCGAAATTCTTTCTTCGATTTATTTATTAGTAAATTCTATAAATGCACATTTCCATGAAAGCAGGAGACCCGTGGGTCACTCACCTGAGCATTGTGGCTAGGAAAAAGTAGAAATTGGTTTATTACTGAAAATTTAAAAAACAAAATTAGTTCCATGGCCAATCACGGCTTTGCTATTCTTGAGAAGATTCTTAAGAAGATGATTTTTAAAGAATTTGCCTATATATGTCTAAGTAAACTTTTATCGGCCATTTTGGCCCAACCCTACCCCCCCCGGGGGGGGGGGCATAATTTGAACAAACTTGAATCTACACTACCTGAGGATGCTTTCATATAACATATAATTATGATCAATTATAACTTTGCCATTCTTGAGAAGAAGATTTTTAACGAATTTTCCTATATATTTCTATGTAAAACTTTGATTAATTTTGGTCCCGCCATACCACCGGGGGTCATGATTTGAACAAACTTCAATCTATACTACCTGAAGATGCTTCCGTATAGCATATCTTTATGATCAATTACGGCTTTGCCATTCTTGGGAAGATTTTTAAAGAATTTTTATATATATTTCTATGTAAACCTTTGATCGGCCATTTTGGTCCTGCCCTACCCCCCGGGGGGCATGATTTGAATAAACTTCAATCTATACTACCCGAGAATGTTTTTCCATAAGTTTAATCTTTTCTGGCACAGTGTTTCTTGAGTAGAAGATTTTTAAAACATGCCACCAAATTTTCACTAATTCCCACTTATCTCCCATTGAATGAGGGCGTGGCCCTTCATTTCAATAAACTTGAATCTCCTTCACCCAAGAATGCTTTGTGGCAAGTTTGGTTGAAATTGGCCCGGTGGTTCTTGAGAAGAAGTCGAAAATGTGAAAAGTTACAGACAGACGGACGCCGGACAAAATGTAATCAGATAAGCTCATTTGAGCCTTCGGTTCAGGTGGGCTAAAATGATTTTAAAATAGTTGAAGCATGGAAAATCTATTTTTGATTTCTTTTGGTCGAAAAAAGTAATGAAAATGCTATCCTTTTGTATGAAAACATTCTGAAAGATCTTTTTGTGTGCATATGTGTTATAGAACACATTCAGCTTTACTAGCTGCTTCATCAATATTTTCTTACTTGCCTTTCAATTCATCTCCTGTCTTTTTAGGCACCTGGTTTACAACAAATGTACAACATTCCATACTTTTTTACAATGATTAACAGAATGTCATCTGATACCAAAAATATTAGAATAACCCTACCAAACCATGCCATAAAGGGAACTGAATCCGTGTATTTGACAGTCACAGGTAAAATAAAGAACAAAATATGCATTAAAATATTATAATCATTACTTGAATCCAATTTAAATAGACTTTTCCTGATTTAAATCGTCTGTGTGCGAAATTAAAAGATTCAGATACAGACACAGATACTATTTTAATACTTGTAAAATTGAAAATTAGGACTACGCTTTTCGAAATTCTTTTGAGGATTTATAAAATTATTTTATACATTTTGAAATGTAATAATAAGGTTCAAATTAACAAGGGACAATTTACTGTAACTTCCGATGTTTACGAGGGGTGATCAAAAAGTTCACGAACTAATTGAATAACTTCCATAACAGAAATAATATTTGGTTTCAGTGTTGATTATATTTTAAATCAACCCTCTCCAATTTCAATGCACATCTGTCACCGCTCTGCGCATGCGCGAATCACGTGATATAGGCGGTCACGTGACCCTTCCGTAGCGTTCTGTCACAAAAGCTGAAAGATTTTTTCTGAGTTTTATATTTCTCTCCATGTAAGTTAATTTTTATAACAATTGAATTTATAGGAAGTCATTTGTCTTAATAAATTGTGTTCAAATTATTATACGTTACTTTCAAAGGATTTTTAAGATATATAATAAATTTAACCGTCGTTTTTTAAAAGAGTACGACTGAGACAACCATTTTTCGTCACGAGTGACCTACATAGTGACGTCATTTTCACATTGTGACGTCACAAGCAAGAAGCAAAACTTTATTCAGCATATGTTATTTATAGAACCTGTGTATGGCTATGTGTGTACCAAATTGTTTTCTAATCTGAATTGTGGTTTTTTAGATATAGAGATAGTTCGCGAACTTTTTGATCACCCCTCGTATGTTTAAAAAATACAATCAGGGTCAATTGCTGTGAAAGCCATTATTAAGATGGTAAATCTTCCCTTTAAATTCTGAAACAAAATATCTACAGTTAAAACCAGTTTTGTGTTTTTAAGTTTAATTAGAACTTTAATCTTTAAAGCAGTTTAATCAAGCCATAGGAGGAAAAAATAGAAAAATAACAGCAATTAAGTGCATTTTTTAATTTGCTTATCACAGTGATATTTCTTTCATTTTAGTACCAAATTTAACACTCAGTAAAGGTAGAATGGTAGGATAAAATCGTGGAAATGCTTGCTATTACTTTTAAAATCCCTGCTTTTGATACTATTATTGCTCGCAGCTAACTGTAAAGTTTCACGTTACGTCACGATCTAGTTGACAACTGCGCTCAAGGTAAATTGTACACGCCTCCTAACCGCAAGCTTTACGACTGGAACTTTCTTCTTATCCCTGATTGGTTGCTCGTGCAACAGACTATTTCCGTGTCAATGTTGATAATTTGAGTTGACCAATCACGTGAATTATTTACGCTGGATGAATCTGACGAAAAAGATCGTGACATAACGTGAAATATTATAGTTAGCTGCAAACAACAATAATATCACTACCATGTAATTTTTTTTTTCAATTTAGAAAAAAAAACTCTTTATACCTCATATATATAGCTACCTTTACCGGGTAAGTTGGTTTATGCTCGGAAGATACTCTAGATTGTAACTGCTAGTCCATGCTTAAGATTACACTTTTATGATAATGCACAATTTAACGATTCATTAAAGATTTGTTATAGAGTGCGTTACATTTATATCGTTATCCATTTTAAGATTTAAGCGTATACTATTAATAACTTTTAGATTGCTTGTACAGCAGGATTTTTTTTTTATTTATGGCATTACATTAATCTACAGCATAAATGTCATGATATTGTCAATGCCTTAAATATTAAACGTAATTTATTAGTATCACATCCTCTTACTGTGGCAAAAAAATTAATTTCGTTGAACTACTTTCGCAAATTTACAATTTCAAGTCTCGAAAGTAAAAGATGTAATTTCTACCAGGTAACAAAAAAATAATAATTCGGACGAATTAGATGTCTTTGGGCGAGGAAGACATTTTTTCGGACGAATATGAAATTTTTTCAGACAAATAATAAATTCCCGAAACTGTTCAAATCAATATCAAAAAAAATTTCATTAATACGAACGAATTTCTATTAATTTTCCGACCAAAAATCTATCTTTCATTTTTCTTACCATTATCTAAACGAATTTCTAATTTGTCCAAATATCTTATTCGTTCGATCGAATTTCTGATTTGTCCAAATATCAAAACAAATTTAAGTCATCTAAATTAATTCGTCCAAACGAACAGCTGTATTTTAATATACCTCTTAAGCAGCGTTGAAACTTTCAACTTGTTTTCTCAGGAGACATTATGGCACCAACTATAAGTGGACTTGGTCATTTAATCCGACGTCCTTGTGGATGCGGAGAACAGACTATGATGTTTCTTGCGCCCAATATTTACGTGATCCATTATCTAAGGTCAACAAATCAGTTGTCAGCAGGTGTGAAAACTAGAATTGTCACAAACATCAACAGAGGTAATTATTTTTCCATTTGATATCTACGCTGGGTTGTAGGACTTGTGCGTTTTCATTACATTATTAAAAGTTTTCTTTTTACTTTGATGGAAGCCCTATTTTAAATCAGATAGAAAACTTTGGCTAACTCCAGCCTACTATAACTTCAACTGTACTGTACAATAACTTCCCAATTATGAAATTTCAAATACCCTTTTTAGGTTAAACAACCTAAACAGAGCTGTGTCTGCATATATTTAATATATGTTCAAGTTGATCAATTTAGAAAATTGCATAAAACAAACAAAAAAATACAGGATTTATTCAAATTCAATTAAAATTGAAAAAAAAACTGACAATTTTGAAAAAGGGCTTCTTCAGTTATTTCCGAGAAATCACTCCAGGGCTTGCTGTGCTTCGAAAAGTAGAATTATTAGAACATTTCACATTGGTTCGTCTTCTTCGGCTTGGCGGCATTTAAAGAACAAGGCGGTGGTTCAAGTTTGATCATCTTTGAAGTGGGAGGATCCTATACGGAACTAATTAACCGTTTCAAGTATTTTATCAGCCGATCTCTGTACTTTCAGACAGTTTTCTCCGGACCATGACCTGTTCGGGCCATTATTTCTGTCTCAACAAATACGTTTAAGATGCACAGTTCCCTTATCAGTAAAACTGCCTCTTAAACAACCGGTTGCTTTTCTCAGTTGTACAGAAAACAGTGCAATTCTTGTTTCAGGCTTCTATGTACATGTAGGTATTGCCTTCCCAATTGTCTCCATTAATCGTTCTGCCTCTCCATTAGCTTCTTGCCATGATGGTCTTATCCCATCCTCGTCGCTATTGGAATGTTGTGATATTCCAAGAATCTGGGTGTTATTCCAGCTGATGATATTCAGCATTTACATTGAGTTTGGAGAACACTGTAGGTCCATTGAGACCAAAATCCATGTCGTTAGTGTGACCTGGCGTTCACGTTGTATAATCGCTTTTTTCTCTTTTTGCATATATACACACACTCTAATTTCTCATGGTTTATCGAGTTTAGGGTCAACGACGATTGGAGAGACCAATGGTATGGGGTCATTAAGTTTTTCAATGATGTCGAGTTTCTCTTATTTTTCAAGTCCTTTTTCAACTTGTTTTCAGATACAAATCAAAAATTCTAAATTCTAAAAGGTCTTCGATCCCCTGTAAAAGGGTAACAGTAATATTATGATGGAAAACTACGTTTGACTTCGATCCAAAACCTGTGATTTGTAGATCTATGGACGTGTGTCCGTCCGTCCGTCCGTCCGTCTAGCTGTCTGTCTGTCCGTCTGTCATAAATTTTCGTCGAAGTTTTCAAAGCAACTACTCATTTGCAATGCTTGATATGTTGACGCAATCTTCTCTGAGGCATGCCATATGGTGGGATTCAATTTTGTTAAAATCCGATGTCAACTTCCTGTTTATCCGTGCATCTGTCCGTTTTATACATGTACATAACAAATTTTCGTGGCACTTTTCTCAGCAACTGCTCATCGCAGATACTTGATATTTTAACACAATCTTCTCTGAGGCATACCATATGGTTCAAATCTGATGTCAACTTCCTGTTTGTCAGTGAGTCTGTCCGATTCATACATGTTTCATGCATAACAAATTTTCGTTACAGTTTTCTCAGCAACTACTCATTGCAGATGCTTGAAATGTTAACACATTCTTCTCTGACGCATGCCATATGGTGGGATTGATTGATTTTTCTTTAAAGAACTATATGCGGTATATTGCATATACTTGCCCCCACCAAAGTCAAATTTTGAAAACTTCCTGAAATGTGCTGAATTCAATAAATTGTATTAGAAATATAAATTAACAGAACATATTATAGTTTCAAAGCAGTTTATTCACAATTTTTGTTTTTATGACGTCACAAACTTGTCGGATTTTGCATTATTTTTCAGAAAGAGGACAAAATGGACAAAATTTCAACAATTTTAGCTCTAAAATTTATAGAGCGCAAGTTTGTTCAGGAACAATATTTACATATTTCATTGATATTATCATTCTACGCACTATATCAAAATATTGATCCTGAACACACATGCGCTCGGTTACTTTTTCTCAAAATATCGACGAAATATGTACATTTTTCTGTAGAATTCATAAAAAAACCTTAAATTTACGTCATGTTTGTGACGTCATTACGTACATATGACGTCATTACTTATGAAAATATTCAGTGCTTTGAAGTCAGCATACACTCCCCTGTTTAAGAACTTCATTAAATATACCTCCATCAAAGTTTGTTTTAGGGGGCAAATATTGGTTACTACCGAATAAAGTTCTTTAATGACAACTTCCTGTTCGTCCGTGCATCTGTCCATTCATACAAGTTTCACACATTACATTTTTGTCACAGTTTTCAAAGCAAATACTCATTGCAGATGCTTGAAATTTTAACACAATCGTCTCTGAGGCATACCATATGGTGGGATTTATTCTTGTTTAAATCTTATGTTAACTTCCTGTTTGTATGTGCGTCTGTCCATTTTATACATGTTTCATACATTATACATTTTTGTCACAGTTTTCTCATCAACTACTCTTAGCAGATGCTTGACATTTTAGCGCACTCTTTCATGAGACATGCTTTATGATGGGATGTATTTTTGTTCATATCCAATGTCAATTTCCTGCTTGTCTGTCCATCTGTCCATTTTATAAATTAACAAATTTCGTCTCAGTTTTCTCAGCAGTTTGCAATATGGTGGGACCTATTTTTTATGAATCTGATATAAAATTCCAACTTTCCGTGCATATACCCGTAACATTTATTAACATGATATTGTATATTCATATAAGAGCGAGGGTATTACTAGTGAGCATTGGCTGACAGATTTCTTGTATGTTTTTGTTGCTCATCTGCATTTGTCTTAATTAATTTCCTCTGCATGCGCTTAAGATCCAAGTCTGAACTGTTTGCACATGAGCTGACGATATTCATCACATCTACGAAGTCCAAACACTTTACAGGCATAGAAAAAAACTGTGATATGTAAGGAATTTGCAGAATTTTGCCCCAGTCCATCTTTTTACCACAAAATGTCCTCTTGTTCTGGCAGTATTGGGTCGGTCTGTCGCACAGTACGTCGTTCCTATCCCAAGGGCTACGAGTCTTTTCATTTGGGCATCGAGTTTTTTTACGTGTCCGTGCAAATCTATCGTCATTAGGGTCAAGAAAGTTAGTTTGTAAATATTTTAATATCACGCAAATGTCGCAGGAAAACACACATAAGATAATGTAACAATTGTGAATTCATCCCCCCGTTGTTAACGAACCTCAACTACAAACCTCTGCAACTAATAGTCCATGTTATTAGCCTCCATTGCAGAAATTTCAGGAATAAACTTATTACCGGTATTCGACGAAAGTTTATTTCTCTCCTCTCGCCATTTACTCCAAACGCCAAATGCCCACCTCGTGTTTACCTCTGTATTCTTACACTCCTGATCTTCCTAAAGAAGATTATTTCCTTATCAGTTATATGTCTTGCAATTTAACCTAGTAAACAAGACAGACGTGTTCTGGGGGTGACTCAGTTTTAACATCTTCTTGTTCTTCGAAGAGAAATTAAAATCTCCGGAACTTAATATGTTGTTATTCCTTCTAATGCACACTCTTCATTATCAGTAGCTTTACATGTTTGTGATAAAGTTATGTCGTCTAAATCACTTTTTAAAAAAAATAAACTCGTATAGCTCCATCTTGTTCTGAATTTAGGCGCATCGTGACATTTAGGAGGAACTTACGATATCATCTCGCGTGCAGTTTGGTGCTTCAAAGAACGCATAGAAATACAGACTTTGCATATTCATCAATAGATTTTATATTCTGTTTACTTTGCTTTTTAATAACTATGCAAATGTCCATAAAATTTTTTAAAACTTGCACATGGCCCTTTAATCAGTCTTTAGGTTCAGATGAGGTACATTTATAAAAAAAAATTGCTGCTGAGCAATAATTTTTTTCACAATTGTTTACCCTGAAAGTTATTGTATTTGATAAATAATTTTCTTTTTTCAAAAGGCATAGACAATGAATTGCGATATCAAAAGCCTGATGGTTCATTCAGTGTATGGGGAAATCGGGACAGACATGGAAGCACATGGTATGACCTTTACGTATCAATCAAGATACAATTTAAAGGTTCAGTTACCAAAAAGATTAGTGATGATATAAAGAAAATTAATTTTCCATTTCTTCTCCGAGAATTGAACAAAAATACATACAAATATGGGAAAAAATATTAAGGCAAGAGGTCTTTTTAATGATTTTCAAGTATTGTAAAACTGTCATAACCTATTTTGGTCCTACTTACACCAGTGAATCATGTTTTGAGGAAACGTGATTTAGCTCAACTGAGCTGAAAACTCAAGTGAGCTTTTCTGATCACCCGTTGTCCGTCTATCCGTCTGTAAATTTTTCACATTTTCAACTTCTTAACAAGAACCACTGGGCCAATTTTGACAAAACTTAGTACCAAGCATTCTTGCGTGAGGGGAAATTATATTCTTAAAATGAAGGGTCAAGTCTCCTAACAAGGGGATCCGGAGATAATCAAGAACAGACAGAAATAAATGGGGTTAATTAAAAAGTCTTCTTCTTAAGAACCACAGGGCTAGAAAAGCTGAAACATACTGTAGATTAGCAAATAATCACGATGGTCTTAATTTCGCTATGTTCGCGATTTATAATTTTTCAGCGAAATTAAACCTATCATGATTGCTATTATTAGTTGTTAAAAACGTTAAAATGCTAATAGAAAATTTAAATTAATTTCTTGCAGCGTGAAATTAAAACCATCGCAATTTGTACGTTTTGGGATATCGTGAAATTTTAACACCGTGGAATTAAAACGATTTACAGTATGTGGAAGCATTCTGGGATAATGTAGAATCTAAATTGTTTTAATCATGACCCCCGGTATTAAGGCGGGGTCACAATTATAGGGAATCCAAGTTTTACTTTGAAATATAGAGGAAAAATCTTTTAAAATCTTCTTCTCAAGAACCAATGAGCATAAAAGCTGAAACTTGTGTTGAAGTATTCTGGGGTAGTATAAATTCAAAATTGTTCCAATCATGACCCCCGAGGGTAGGGCGGCGCTGCAATAGGGAATTCAAGTTTTACATTGAAATATATCTTCTTCGCAAGAACAATTAGCCTTACGATTTGCTATGGATTGCGAAAAATTGGCACTTTACCATGAAACCATAAAGTAAATGCACATACATGCCTTTTGAGACAGTCCCTAAAACACATGTAACAACAGTGTAGATTTTCGCTAAATTTGGCATGTACACTGAAGTCAATGTAAATTAACCAACAGTGTCATTTCTTCTTCCCAGTTTACTGTATAAGCTCTAATATTTTACTTTCAGGTTGACTTCCTTTGTGCTTTTGTGCTTCCATCAAGCTGATTCTTTTGTACCCGTTGACAGAAATATATTTACACGTGGCATTGACTGGCTAATGGAAAAACAAAATATTGACGGCTCTTTTCGAGAACATGGCTATGTTATTCACTATCAAATGCAGGTAAATGTAACATTATTGGTTTACAGTTTGTTGACTGGAATCAACAATAAACAAGAGCACTGCTACGCGGAGCATCCCCTCGCGACAGGAACTTCATCGGTAAATGCAATGTCTCCATACCAGAGAAATATTCTCAAGAGTGATTGATTAATTGATTGTATACTGTTTAACGTCCCTCTCCAGAATATTTCACTGATATGGAGACGTCACTATTGCCGGTGAAGGGCTGCAAATTTAGGCCTATGCTCGGCACTTATGGCCTTTGAGCAGGGAGGGATCTTTATCGTGCCACACCTGCTGTGACACGGGGCTTTGTTTTATACAGTCTCATCCATTAATGAAGATAAATCATCTAATTAGGTTTAAAATAAGGAAAAAGGAAATAAAATATATTACAGAGCTAATTATTTTTTAACCAAATCATCGAAGTACATAGCAACGGGAGGTGGTGGGGGCATAACATGCAAATCCAATTGTGCAGTTTCCCTTATTCCTAACAGAAACATGTCACGTATACTATAAGTTTCAGTAATTTACCTACCTATGTATATCTCACAGTTGCATGCAATATGCATAACATCTGAGAATACCCGCTGTAATATACCGGTGTTGAGAGGTCACTGAAACAGGTCTAGGCGGCCTCTGTTTTTGGAGAATAGATTTTATCCTCTAACAAGAATAAATACGAGTTACCCCATATCCAAACATATTCGACTTTTAGATTTAATATTTTTAACAGTGTTTAATAACTTTTTTTTTAAATGCACTGTCATGGAACTGGTGTAAATTTCTTGAGTCCGTAGCATTACGGTCACCCAGTCTCTTAACAAACAGTACACATACCTGTGTCTGCAAGATCAGTTGTCTTGGTCTATACGTACACACGTGCGATGGAGTTGTCAAACGCATCTTGCGAGCTCGGAGAAACACGTTATGTTTTGCCGAGAAGTTATCATGGCAGAAAAAACTTATTTTCTTTATTAGATCATATGAATACGAATTCTGATTAATAAAAATTAAACAATCCCGGTTTTCAGTTTAGAAATTTGCTACACATTTTATGATTACGCTCCCTATAGTGCAGTCTACACACGAGCAGAATCCGACCAGGAATTAAAAACTTCCGTCATTTAATAATACACACAGAATAATTTTTTTTTCTTTAAGAGGCAATTGTATGATAATTAACGGACAAATAAACATGAACTTATACAATTGTTGATACAATATTATCAATTCATCAGTGAAAAGATATCAATCGAAGAATGACCTAGATATTCTCTGTTATCAAACATGTTAAATAAGGACTGAGGGGGAGCAAGCGTAGGAATATTGATATTTTTTATTTGCATTTCGGGGTGAATGTGACTTACTAAAAACATTTTGACGTTATTTTTGGTTACTTTAACTTATGGCATACATTGTACACAATATTTTTCTTATCATGAACAATGATGTATCTATACTTGTCATGATGGAACAATTTCGTCGGAACATTTTGTGTGAGTCGCCGCTGACTACAGTAATATATCTTGAACTAATAGTAAGCACTGATCGAATATATAAAAAAAAATAGAGGAAAGAGGTGTCGCACCTACCGGACTTTTCAAAACAAAGGGCAGTCTAAACCAAAAAAAATAACAACATCTCTTGCATTTCTCAGTTTATGAACCGTACGCTGATTTATCAACAAAACAAATAAAAGGTTCAATTTCATATATAAGATGTTTGTTAATCTAGGTATTAAATCAGTATAACAATTTTGGTAATTTGCTTTCAATAAATGGTATTCAGGATAAAGCTTAGTTAAACACCCTTCCCTGTACCATAATTATGTGTTAACATTACAAAAATTTTGAAAAACATGTTTTTGAAAAATTCAGTTTAATTAGTATTTCATTAAGTGACACGATAGCGGTCGGGTTATTTTTAAGTTTGTTGTTCTGACTACAGTGGGCCAAGCTATTTTCCGTTCAATACTAGCCTTGTATACTGAACATTGTATTTAGCCAACTGTTTTGCATCTAAAATACAGCACGGTCTAAAAATAAATCTGATTCAATTTATCAAAAACACGTACAAATATAAATGCTGATTTTTAACCCCTATTATAAATTTTGGAGAAATATTCCCCTAGCAATGTATAATGTCAAAATCTCTCAATCACTTCAAAAAAATATTCCACACAGAATCTACATATTATTTTTCGATCCAAACGAAAACGAAAATTCAAAGTTATACGTATATGTTGGATAAATTCCTGAAAATCTCTTTGCTTTCCCTGCTTTTATTGTGTCCCCTTCAAATAAAGTAAAGTCAATGGGGTCTCGAACGCAGTATACATAAGGTGAAATTCGCACCCTCCCCTTTCCTCTCTTCTTGTGCAATCTCATTCAGGTCCAATTTAGCCCCTTTTTTATTTTATTTTATATCTTTATCGCTGACGACTGCCGTTCATCTCTTTCACTTAGTTTTAATGTCGCATTTCAACTGTCTCTATCGCCTGTATCATGTATGTGTATCTAAAATTATAGACTGAGATTTTAAGACCCCTGAAATAAATTAGGATCAATCTCCATGTACAGCAAGGTTAAACCGTCCTCCTTATTAATTAAGACTGACTTTAATTCAATATCGTCTACCCCGTTGTCAAAACTTATCTGACTGAAAACGTTGTCCGTGGAAATATATATGCTGCGGATGCATACTCCCCGTCGAGGCCCATCGAGACCCTGGCGGAAGTTTGGATGCTGCACAGCGGTGCTTTTTTCTTGATTTATCTTTTTTGATATATTTTTCTTGATAATTCATTTATTTAATATTATTTATTTTATCATATATTATAATCATTTATTTTATCTTTAAATTATTTTTTTGCTTAAAGAAGCTATAAAAACTAACAGACAATGTTTTTTTCGACTCTAGATCTGAGAAAAATATATCATATAAAGATATGCATATTGAGACTTTTTCGTACATTTAGAACATAGGGTACATGCCTTGTTTGAGCAGGAAAAATGTTCAAAGACAATGGATTATTTCTGATCAGAAATCACTGTTGTTTACTTACATTGGGAAAACTGATGAAAATAATTAATTACAATTCTTACTCTTGGTCTTATATAATGCTAAAAATGTTCTAATGTTCTAATATTATGTGATTAACGGCAAATAACAATTTCTTTAAGCTTACATCTAAGGACAGATCACTCAACTGTATAAAACTACCCAATAAAGTGTGCAGTGTTTAGAGCACCCTTAAATTATCAGACAGAGTGTATTTTGTCTTTAAAGTACGTTTTCTTTTGTGTGTCCTTTTTCTCTAATTTAAAAGAAAATATGAAAGTAATATTATTAATGTACATGTATTGTTTGAGCATTTTAGTGCCTTTTTATTTGTACTGATAGGGAAAAATTATGCAACAACTTTCAAGTTATTGAATTTGATTCATGTTTTAAGCCAGATGCTATATGGCATTCACAATTTTGAAAGAGGCACCATTGATCATCATAACAATACACTTAGCAGTTGCTTAGCTTGGTTACTGAATACCCATATGCAGGGTAAGGGAACAAAAATGCATTCCAACTAATCAGTAATGCCCCAAACACTGTGACATAAACCCCTGACCCTAGGTCCACACATTGCACAAATTTTAAAAAGGCACCCTTAAAATTGCCTATCAAAAATAAATAAATTTTTTATAAATACAAAGGAGCAGATTTCAAACAATTAATTCATTTTCAGTATATAAGTACTGTAGAGCCCTCTTCCCCCCACCCCTGACCCTGGGGCCTTGAAATTCACAATTCTGCAAGATCAGGGCCCTTGCTCATCATAACTATATAGGTAGTTCATCTGCTTCATACCCAGAGACAGAGAAGAAAATTTTCAAAGTTTTAATGTATTTTCACTATATAATCAATAAAGTCCCGCCCTAACACCAAAACCCCTGACCCTGGGGCCATAAAATTCATAATTTTAGAACAGGCATTCTTGCTCATCATAACAATGTACTTACTTAGTTTATTTAATTCCTAGGAGCAGAGAAGAAGATTTTCAAAGAATTCATGTATTTTCAATATATAATCAAACGAGCCATGCCCTAACACCAGAACCCCTCACCCTGGGACCATAAAATTCACAATTTTGGTAAAAGCGCTCTTTCTTATCATAACTATGCACTTAGTTAGTTTATTTAATACCTAGGAGCATAGAAGAAGATTTTCAAAGAATTCATGTATTTTTACTATATAATCAATAGTCCCCCACCCTAACACCAGAACCCCTCAACCTGGGACCATAAAATTCACAATTTTGGTTGGGGCACTCTTGCTCATCATAGCTATGCACTTAGTTTATTTAATACCTAGGAGCAGAGAAGAAGATTTTCAAAGAATTCATGTATTTTCACTATATTATCAATAGAGCCCCCCCCCCCCAACACCAGAACCCTTGACTCTGGGGCCATAAAATTCAAAATTTTGGTTGAGGCACTCTTGCTCATCATAACTATGCACTTAGTTTATTTAATACCCAGGGGCAGAGAAGAAGATTTTCAAAGAAATCATGTATTTTCACTATACATGTATATAATCAATAGAACCCCACCCTAACACCAGAACCCCTGACCCTGGGGCCATAAAATTCACAATTTTGGTAGAGGCACTCTTGCTCATCATAACTATGTACTTAGTTGGTTTATTTAATACCCAGGAGCAGAGAAGAAGATTTTCAGAGAAATAATGCATTTTCACTATATACTTATTTAGCCCCGCCCTAGTACTAGAACCCCTTTTAGTGGTTTAGTGGCCCCTCAGGCCCCAGGGGGGCAGGGATCATGAAATTCATAATTTTTGTTCCCCTTCACCCATAGATGCTTTGTGCCAAATTTGGTTGAAATTGGTTTACTCAGGTGACCTAAAAATTATACAAAATAACAAGAAACATTAAGTAGAAATGGAACGCAAGAAGTGCCATTACAAAAAGCGTATTGTAAAAATTCTAGACATAGAATCTCAAATCGCCACATGCAATTGATAGTTTAATGTTTGAATTTTTATTTAATTGTACTCTGCTGTTTGCATGCACTTTTTGATTAAAGGTAGGCACGAGACGTTTGAAAATAACCTGTGTTATCCTCTGAAATCAGAAGATAATCTATCCGACATTGCATTGCCGTGTCCATATATATTGTAAAAAATTTGGCCGCCATATTGAATCTAGCTATCCTTCAAAAACGGCGCCGCCCAGACATATGAAACTTGTGTCGATCTTTATAGCTTTCAGGAATTATGAGCGCTTCAAGAATTAATTCAATGTTGTAAACAGACACCTGTGGAAATTTGTTATTAAAAACGTCTTTGTTGATGTATTCATACTTACAGTTTTTTTTACTCTTTTTACAGGGAGGAGTAAGAGCTAGTCGCGCTACCATCACAGCATACGTCTTACTGACTCTGTTAGAAAACAAAGATATCAGGGAATATAGGGTATTGTTTTCATTTTATGTAAAATATCCTTGATCAAGTAATAATAGGGATAAAAAAAATTTACGTTTTTTTCTGTAAAAATTCTGCTACAAATAATAACAAGAGCACCGCTAAGCGGAGCATTCCTTTGCGGCAGGAACTTCATCGGTAAATGCATTGTCTCCATTCCAAAGAAATATTCTCAAGATGGAGGTACATGAAGATACAACAAGTTGCTGTCCTTTAAAAAGGACTAATACGTGGATCATATGCATGTATTTCTAACCTAAATTCAGTTAAAGAAAATTTCTAGGTTTAGTGAATATTCATGTAGCTATAGGTTCGTTCACATTTCCTCAAATATTCTGCCTGCTTTCACTCACAGTACTTTCATAACGAAATTGATAAACTTTATCTCTGATTGGCGTATAGTTTTAACATTTTAAAAAGTTTCTTTTGATACATATAACCCATAACGGCTGGGGCTTGACATCTGTTCTGCTTTTATATGGAAGAAATCTATCATTGAAAAAAATAGATCTGATGGTACACGTGTAACACAGCTATGTAGTACATTGATTTTTTTCGACCACACCCCCTCAATCTCCTCGACATAGAAATCTGTTGCTACAGGCTTGTATTAAGCTGTAATTGAATTGTCTTGAAGTGCAAAACAAATGCCATGCAATATGCATAACCTCTGAGAATACCCGCCGAAGGAATAAACAATGACAATATACCGGTTTTGAGAGGTCTCTGACACGCCGACGTAATAAAAAAAATGACAATATACCGGTTTTGAGAGGTCTCTGAAACATGGGAAATATCGATCTTAATAGCTTTTAGGAATTTCGTGCGCCTTAAGAATACATAACAGGTTTACGAGGGGTTATCAAAAAGTTCGTGGATTAGCGCCATCAAATTAAAACCGCTTTAGGCACATCAATGAATTTTTAAATATCTAGTTAGCATCATCTTTTCTATCTGAAAAATAAACCATCAATCATAAACTTTATTTTTCAATAAATTAGTAATGTTTTTGTAAGCAATGGTATGTTCAGGCGGCGCAATCTCGAACACGACGTTTTTGCGACCTATGTGTAGCTGAGAAAAACTTCTTTTGATATGAACATTTGACATCCAATATTCTCGTTAATTCAGGTATATTTTGGGACACAATTGTTCCATAAAATATGAAATTTTCACTTCATTCTGGAAGTTCTATAAAATTTTATCGTAAATTTTACATGGAATGTCCAACTAAATGAGGCCTTGAAAATGACGTCAAAAGGGGGAAGGGTTCCTTTTTTCAACATTCTATCAAATTTTGCCCCTGAAAAAAATTATATAGACCTAAGAAATGTTTAAACTGGCTACAGAGAAATAATATGCATCCAGAATACTTGTCTTTTAATGTCAAAATAGATTCACAGAGAAAAAGGGATACACAGTTAATGTCGATTTGTAGTAAAAGTGTGAAAAATCAATCGCGTCAAAAAATGACGTTGATCATATGTTGTAGGTATTGAACTCGTAAAAGCAAAGTATACTGGCACAATCAAGCGAGGATCTCTCCCAATGTATAAATCCATTTGGAATATTATATTCATTGAAAGCCGCTGTTCATGACATTGTAAAGTCATATAAACAAGGCGGGTTTAAGTCCTTACTCAGCTCCAGGGAATCTCATCCAAAAAAGTACATGAGGTAGAAGAAGAGGACATTGAAAAAACAATGACGTTGTCGGACTCATAAAACGCCGGGTGATCATACATGTATAATGTCGTTTTTATTTTATAATAATTTGGGAAAGAATGAACGTATCAAGGTAAGATTTTCAACATTTCTTTATTTTTTGTTGTCTTATGTTCCATATAAATTTTGAAAGCACAGACTGCATAGTACTAATTTTATAGCCCAAGTCCACGAACTTTTTGATAACCCCTCGTAATATCTAATAAAATTAGCTTCCAAAGTATTTCACTTTAATTTTTGGAAATACCGGTATTTCAAATATTTGATTTATTTTGTTAAAACCCTTTATTTCTATACTTTTAAAAGCCTAGTACTTTAAATTTCCAACGTTACAAAATATTGAAATGAAAACCAAGAAAGTTATGCATAAATTCTGCATAATTTTAATTAAATATTTTCAAAAACAGACAAAAGAAATACTAAAACAGCATTTTCTTAAGAAAAGCTGGTTAGATTTCCTCCAATATCTGAATATATACATTGTATATAGTATAATAGGATTGAAATGATGAGAGAAAGAAATTGAACGAAATTGAAAAAAATAATTTTAAACATCACAAAAATTCAGGCGTGAAAGATCCGTTTCAAGAGTGGGTTCAAATACCTAGGAACTATATTTCTATATATTATACTTCAATTTAATTCTTCTTAAACTCAGGCACGTAGCAACAGGGGAGGGGGGGTGCCCTCCCACTTTTTTCTCAACATTACTTAAACTGTAGGAAATGTTCATTGAAAGGTTGGTTGCCAACCACCCCCCAACTTTTTGTGATGTAAGGAAAATGTAGAATTGTAGGTTTAAAAAATTGGTACTGGAAGAAGTTGGTATTGGAAAAAGTTGACAAGCAAACCCCCACTCCCACCCAACCCCCCAACCCCCACCCCCACCCCCACTCACTCCCAAGAAATAGGATTTTCGACTTCTTGAAACTTTTGGGGGGTTTTTTCGGGGGGGGGGTGCTTGTCAACTTCTTCAGTAATTAAAAAAAATTCTGGCGGCCCCTCTTTCAAAAACGATGCTAAGTGGTTGAAACTTGCACCGGTATTGAAAAAAAGATACCAAACAAGGACATCGAAAGAAGTTCGTAATGTGTTGTTTTTTAAAAAGTTATGCGAAAACCATCACGTTTCCAGTCAAAGAAAAATATACGTATTTATTGAGAAGAAAGCTTATGGTAGTCCGATCCTCAGGTTTATAAAATTAGCAGTTAAGTAATCAAAAATACTCATAAAAATATCCCTGAATCCAAAAAGTTATGTAAATTTATCCGCAATATTTCTTTAAAGTTAGAGATTAAAAGTTAATCATATTACATATATAATAAATATAGGGAAAATTGTCAGATTTCCGATATTTTTGCAGAAAAAGCGAATTAGAATATCAGCAATGCATTTTCTCATTGCAAATTAATCACAAAATATATATTAGATTAAAAAACAATAGGTATCCAGGCATTCAGAGAAATTGTCAGGATTTTTTTACTTATTCGTATTATACGTATTCTAGAACACATAGTGTAAAAGGCATTTGCAATCATTGCAAGACACCACAAATCACTTCTTATTTCATATAATGCAAATAAGCATTGGTATCTAGGGCTTGATTCAAGAAAATCTTATTTCTTTTAAACTGTATTATTTATTTTTCCCTTATAGGGTACAAATGTCAACTTTTATAAGACCTTTTTTGTGACTTCCAAAATTTAGAATCTTTTAATGATGAATAAAATAAAAATTGTTGCATGATAAAATTTTATTTTCAAGCTTCATTTTGATGCATTTCAAATTTAATATTAATTTCTGGAGTTATCCTTCCTGGCTGAGGATCGGATATCCTTAATTTACCTACCGTTTTTATCCAACCTGTATGTATTACCCTGTATTGGAGATAACATGACATGTAAATGGTCAAAAGCGGGAAAAAGAAACTCCTGTGAAAAAGTCATACTTCGTTGCAAATCTGCACGTTTTCCATACAAACAGCTGATAATCAATATTGATCAAACGTTTGAGTCATAAAAAATTCCACTTACTGTCGAAGCGTTTTGGTGATTTAATGAACTTAAATTTCATCGGGTATAACCAAATATTCGGGTGTACATTGTATGCAAATCGTGAATGGAGTATCCTGAAGTAGATTGGAGGATGATACTTAAACCTTATCTTTTTTAATTTGCATTTTTGAGGGGTGTATCACTCTGGAAAGCATATATGTTTTTTTTTTCTTAAGAAAAAGAAATCTCGGAGTTTATGGAGATTTGAAACATAATATTGAAATAGCATGTAGACAAGGCATGGTTTTTTACATCAATTTTTTTTTCATTACTTAAAACTATATTTATTTTCATAAGTTTGTAAATATATTTTTTTTTATAATGAGATACAATGTAAGTAGAAACTGAATAAATTGACAAACAATTCGTGTTAAAAGAAGGGATACAAACTGGGCACTCCCGTAGCCTCGTGTGATACCATGTACATTCCTTCCACAATATCGCATGTTGTGTTATACCCGGTAATTTAACAGTGTTCAGTGAATTTGAATCAGATCATTTTGGATCAAATTAAATGGCTTTTCAACGGAAGTACGCCATGTTGTGGCGTCGTAGAGAACCCCTTAAATCTTACCCACAAGCTGTAACGGACACATTAACACACACATACGCACAGCTGCGATGCTATATCCCCTCAGCAACAAGTTAGGCGAGGGGATAATAAAAACCGATCGGCTAATGAAAAATTACAATTAATATGCCCATTGGAATCTTTAGCAGACCTGTCGCGAAAGATTGTATGCATACATGTAATTATTTAGATAATTATTCTTAAGGAGAAACTCGGATATCTATTCAATATTAGAGTAGTTACATTTTCCAAAAGCTCTTGGAATTTTTTTTAAGAATCCATATTTGATTTACACCAGTTTTTGGGAGTTAAACTATCATAATGTTCAATCTGCCATGGTCATCACGCATTTAACATGCGCAGTAATCTGTGTTTATTATATAGAGCCGAAAGCGAGGCTACTATGTCAAACGATTTACTCCGATGATATTCAACAGAAAACATGCATAAACATCCGCCACAAATAGTTCATGTCATTTTCTCCTAAATTGATCTAATTTTCATAATTTGAAATGTAAGTAAATGTAATGATAAAGTAATCTTATTTTGAATATTAGATTTCGTTCAAAGTAAAACTAAATTATAATGAACTTTTTTCAAGTTTTCGTTATGGAACTCATTTTAGACGGGGTCACGTGCAA